CACATGATGGAATAAAAGTGGGGAAGCTGCTGTCAGCTTGAGTCTCGATACAGACAGGACTATGCAGCATGCTGTACACCAGGAGAGAGATCCATCTGATGCCATCACCTTGGGGCTCCTGATATCAGAAGGGACGTAAGACACCATCTAATTCAATTACTACCATCAGTTCCATATAGCTTCTGGTTTTGTGTCAATAAACAACATCTTTTGCTCACATCCTGGATGTGGTGTGTTTCCTTGAATCCTTGTTGCCTGCCCAATAGCTAGACAGAACAGCAGATAACCTGAGGATAAAACACAAGTGTTCCAGGCAGTAGTACTAGGGCCAAGAAAGGAGTTTCCATCAGCTGATTGATTGCTCATTTTTTACTAATACTTATCCCACTGTATACTACAACAGACTTAGACTTCACTATATCTTAATTTGAGCCTACAAGAAAAAATAGCTAGTGTTGCATAATGGCTAGTTTGCTTGTGTCAGCAACTGCGGGTACGCTCTACGAGAACTAGTTATACCAAATCATTTACTTGGGTTAGTCAAACTATTATTCTAAAATGCATTCCAAACCCTGCGTGCGATCAGAGCAATGCAGCAGAGGGCCAAGTAAACAATAGAAGATCTGGCTCAAGGAGCATACAAATAACAGATTCCTGTAAAAACATGCAAAGCAAACATTTATACTGATATTTGAGGTACAGACTCTCCCTTGAAATAGCTCAGCTACAGAGTACATGTTTATGGACAGAGCTGCTACAGAAGCAGCAAGTTTGAAAAGTTTGGTAGAAATTTTGGATTGCAGAGGCTCTGACACCAGCCTTGTTCTGGGAATAGCATTTGGACCTAAGATTCTAAACCAGAAGTCTTTTAAAGATCTTCCTGTTTCTCAGTACTTAAGTTGATTATTTCAGAAATCATTCACTTAATAAAAAGAGCTTTAGTTTAGCAGTGTATGAAATACCTGCCAAAACCTGACTGACTTGGCTCTTGACTGTGATCAAGCTTTTTGTTGAAAGCGGAGTCTCATCCCACCCACTGTACCTGAAGGTCCCCTTTTGTTCTCTTCATCTAAAACTTTTCACTCCATTGCAGATCTAGCTTTAAAAAAATAGTTTTAAAAATTTAGTTAATTTAAACTAAAGAAGTCTTAAAAACGAAAAAGAAAGTTTCTCAGTGACCATACAACCCAAAGATCATATGTAAGCAATTGTTAGTTATATGAGGGGGGAGGGGAACAACACCACACAAGATTTTTTTATGAAAGCAAAATGTAAATCCTCTTAGAAGAGGTAGAGAGCCAGTGTTTTAATTGACGCCATCCAGATCTGCAGTACTGATGTCATACCAATTTATTGCTATTAATGATAAAACCAGATTTAAGAGCTATACCAGCAATATAGCATAGATCTCCAATATTCATAGAATAAGACATACCCATATCTAATAACAATAGCAGATTCCACCAGAAATCTATCACTTATTGTAAACATTGTATTTGTGCAATTTCTTTTTCATACTTTAATTCCCAAAATCATGAAAGGCAAATTTAGTACCATAACATGCATCCAGTTTCATGTTTGGCAATGAGAACCCCGTTCTTCATAGACAACCAAAAACCTAGCAGCACATTTTCAAACATTATTACAAGTATTTCTGGATT